TGCGTCGCCATAAGGGGCCTGATCCATTCCCTTGCCCCATCCTCCAGATGCCCCACAATGTAGGCTACCCTTTGCTCATCGTTAACAAAGTCATCATGCTGCAGTTCCAAAGCGTACTCTATTTCCGTTCGGAACGCATTGTAGTCCTGGGGTTTCCCCCCAAACTTGTGTACCAGCCCCGGTACCTTCCTTGCGATGGGGGTGGGTCTGACCTGAGCATCCTGAGCTCGTCTTTCGTCCAGCCGCGCCATCAGGAGAGCTACATGCTGTTCCAAGTCACGGTTTCTCTCTACCAGACCTTGCACTGCAGCTGCTTGCTCCGTCTCTCCGGCTCCTCTGGTCTGGCTCATGGTGCTGCCTCTCTGGAGCTGCGCACAAGCAACGTCGGTGACTGACGGATTGCTGTAATGGATTTAGGGGTTGCTCGTGCGTAAGTTGCCGCCACTGCTGGCGAGGTTACCTGGTTAAACCCTTTCTGACTGAACAGCCTCCAGCATCGTGACTGTCTCAGTCGCTGGCAGAATCCGTCAGTGGGCGTTTCTTGAACCTTTTCCAGCATAAAAGTTGTTTGACGCCAAGTCTCCTCCTACTCTCCCTGCGCGGAAGTCTTCTGCACAGGGAGGGTGTGGGCAGCGGAGTACCCGTACTCTCTCCGCTGGTCTCCAGCGAGGAGTCTTGGAGCCTCCTCTCCGATTCGCCCATCTGCCCCCCTTCTCCACTGGTGTTACGCTGATTTCCTTCCCCAGCAGATGGGCTGCCTCTCTCCCTACTGGGACCCTCTCCTGCATCCCTCTGGAGCCTTCCCTCCGCCTCTAGCTCCGATGGCAGTTCCCTGACAATGAGTAAGCCAAATCAGATCACAAAGAAGTAAAAGGGGTAAATAAAATAAATAAATAAATAAATAAAAGGATTGGCCCGAAAAGAGACCACTTAAATCAAATAGAAGCAACAGCACCTATTTGCTTCAAAAGAACAGCAAAACTGAAATTAAATAAATCAGGGTGCAGTACCCTTCAGACGCCACCAGATCAGCGCAGCAATAAAGTTAAAGGCTGCAATTGCAGCTAGTGGCCACAGGAGGCCACTGTTGCACAATTAATTGAGAAACAACGCTCGTAAAGCGCTGAAAAAAGACGTGCGGAGAACCGCAGAGCTGGGAAGGCCGCGTTTATGGCGCCAGCCGTATGGATTTTAAAAGGCCTGAATAGGCCCCCACAACAAACGGCCGCCGAGGGCCGAAAATGGAGCCCGCAGCCTGGCCGTTTGAGTCAGCCGCAGCACCAGGAGCGCTCCAAGGGCCCAGCAGGCCTCCTCCCCCGGTCTCCCTAGGCCCGAGGACAAAATTTTAAGGCCGGGGAAGGCCGCATCGCCAAAAGGCCTAAATTTAGGCCGCGTGGAGGCCGTGGCCTGGGCGCCCGGGGAGGCCATGATGCAGCAGCGCGGCCCACACTCGCAGGAGCCGCCCAGAGCCCCCGAAGGCTGCCCGGTGTCCCGGGAGGCCCAAATGGGCCGAATTAAATTTAATTAAATTTAATTAAATTTATTGGGGAGCACCGGCCAGCTATTAAATTAAATTCAATAAAGGACCCTGAAGGCGTGCCGCCTCCCTGGAGCCGCTTAAGCCGAGGACAGCTTTAAACGACAACAAGAAAATAAGGCAAGCCTAATTCCCTGCACCCCCCAACCGACCTTGCCCTATGGGCCTAAATTTACCCACAGCGTGGGTTAGGCAGGGAAGAAATGGTGAAGGGAAAAGGAATAAGGCACAAATATCACCAAAGTCTCCTGCAGTGTTGGCTCTGATCCGATTGATCCGATGCACTCTGCAAAGAGAAAGAGAAACCAGAGTGCACCGATATTTAAAGACTATGGTCCCACCCACCCAATTTGCAACATACAATTTGACCCAGCAACCCGGTTATCCAATCACAATGCCAGGCAACAACTATTAACCTGCCTGGCAACCAGAGGCCTGGCCCGGTGGCCCACACCGCAACACGTGCTCTCATTTATTGGAAAACACGCTTTCTCATATTGTAAGAAGCGGAAGAAGAAACCATAGAGAGCATTCATATTTTCCTTCTGATCAATGAAGTCAAACGTTACAATTATCCATTTTAGAATGAGCACCTATAGGGAGAAGACAGATCTCAGTAAGCCAAAGCAAGACCAAGACAACAAACCCCTTCTGGAATATGGTCAGTGTGTACAACATCTAGCTGAATCATCACCAGGATAACTAAGTCAGACTGGGGGAAATATCATTCTTCAGAACCAAGACATCATTACCATGCTTTCCAAGTTACCTGAAAGTCACTAGAACACTTGCGAGCACAGAGCCAAGACACAGCTGAAAGAAGAGAATCCTCTGTTATTACGGAAATGGGAATCAGAGTCTTCAGTAGCCTAGTGCTTATCACTGTGCCTGCAAGACATTGAAAGACACTGCTTAACATTCTGAACATCTTCACTCTTGATACAGTGGTGCCCCGCAAGACGAATGCCTCGCAAGACGAAAAACTCGCTAGACGAAAGGGTTTTGCAGTTTTTGAGCTGCTTCGCAAGACGAATTTCCCTATGGGCTTGCTTCGCAAGACGAAAACGTCTTGCAAGTTTGTTTCCTTTTTCGTAAAACCGTTAAAACCCAAGGTGCATTGCTTGAAGAGGTGCAGTTGCGACTTGACTTCGAGGAGCAACTCATAGCACGCGGTGTGGTAGCCTTTTTTGAGGTTTTTGAAGACTTTGGCGATTTTTGAAGCTTTTCCAAAACTTCTTTGCAGCCATTTGGTAAGTTAAACTTTTAAAACTTTTTGGGGGGTTTTTGGATTTTGGGTTGGGGTGTTTGGAATTCAAGGACTTGGTGTTGGGGAGGGGTTTGCAAGAATCTGGAAGCTTGTGTATGTTTTTTCTGCATTTTATGATTTTTTGTGACCATTGGGCCACTTCTACTGTTTTTTTAAAAAAAAAATCTGGGTTTGAATTTCTGTGTGGTGGGTGGCTGGGGGAACAGTTGAGGAGGGGTTTGCAAGAATCTGGGAGCTTGTGTGGTTTTTTCTGAATTTTTATGATTTTCTGTGACCATTGGGCCACTCTGCTGTTTTTTTAAAAAAATTCTGGTTTTGAATTTCTGTGTGGTGGGTGGCTGGGGGAACAGTTGAGGAGGGGTTTGCAAGAATCTGGAAGCTTGTGTGGTGTTGTTCTGAATGTTTCTGATTTTTATTGTTCCTTCAATTTTTGTATTTATTGTTCCTTCCAGTTTTTGAAATGCTCTTTACAGTATGTGTGTCTTTAAAGAGCTGTTAATAAAATCTTGTTGTACCTAATTTGGCTTTGATTGTACTTCTTTTGACCATAGGAATGCATTAATTGAATTTCAATGCATTCCTATGGGATTTCGTGCTTCGCAAGACGAAAAATTCGCTAGACGAAAAAACTAGCGGAACAAATTAATTTCGTCTTGCAAGGCACCACTGTAATTTCTCACAAGCTCGAAGCAGCCCCGGTTCTTGTTAAGGGAGAAGGCAGGGCAATGCAGCTCCGTTGACATACTTTGCTGCCAAGGGGAAAGAGAAGCCAAAACATGTTTTCTTTACCAAGCTTGGCACTGAGTGCGATGTTCAGCAAGTTATGAATTTCTTCTGGTGCCAAGCCTCTCTCTTGCGCAATCTTTTCCACAGTCTCCAAAGGACTCTGCAAAGCTCCCTGCTTCCGTGAGGCACTACAGTGGTGCCTCGCAAGATGAAAATAATCCGTTCCGCGAGTCTCTTCGTCTAGCGGTTTTTTCGTCTTGCGAAGCAATCCTATTAGCGGCTTAGCGGATTAGTGCTATTAGCGGTTTAGCGGTTTAGCAGCTATTAAAGCCTTAGCGGCTTAGCGGCTAAAAGGCTATTAGCGGCTTAGAAAAAGGGGGAGGAAAGCGAAAAAAATCGCAAGACTCGCAAGACTTTTTCGTCTAGCGAAGCAAGCCCATAGGGAAATTCGTCTTGCGAAGCGCATCGAAAAACGGAAAACCCTTTCGTCTAGCGGGTTTTTCGTCTTGCGAGGCATTCGTCTTGTGGGGCACCACTGTATCTTGAATTAGAAAAAAGTCAAAGTGTGATTCAAATCCATTCGAAAAACCGTCCTCATGCATGATGGCCTGTCCAATGGCTTGCTTTACCATCAATTGGCAAGGGAGCCCCATTGAGATGCCATGGCATTTGGAAAACTCTGGAATGCTGAACTTGCCTTTTGCTTTCTTGCTCCTTCGTTCAGTGGGTAGGTAGGTGTAGGTCGGGGCAAGTCGAAAGCTTCCTTGAATTTCCTCAGCCCCAGCCAGCATTGCCAATGGGCAGGATGATGAGAATTGTAGTTCAGCAACGTCTGGAGGGCCAGAGGTTACCCTCACCTGTTTCATCGGTTAGTGTGCTAAGATCTGGGCCCAAGCCCAATTCAGCTGACGGTACTTAACAAGGGCTTGCTTTACACAGAACATGAGAGCTAATACACTATTCTGCTCCAATATACAAAACAGCCCCTTCTCTAGAGAAAGCTCAAGAAAATACAAACTTCGGGGTTTGTAGATGGCTGTAAAGGTTGCTGAAAGGTTTCTAGTTCACTAGTTGGAAACAGCTTCCAGGCTAGGCAGGACCAAGGTTGCTTTGTAACTGTTCCTGTCTGCCTGCTTGCCATCGTGCATATTTGTAAACCATTTCTGCCAAAATATATACATCTGCAATAGTAGTTTCTGGAAGCAGACCCTGCGAGAGTGCACACTCCATGAAGTCCATATGAAGAGTGTTACGGAATGGAGGGGGGGGCATATGAACGAAGTCTTACTCCCGAGTAAGAGACGTAGAGCCCGAGGAGATGACCTCAAGGGAACCCTGCCACACTAGGGCTCCCCTCACCCCGTCACAACGTTGCACCAAGCACCGCACAAAAGTCCAAAACCCCAAGAAGAAAGCGCCATTTCTGACCCCGTATCCCGATGCTATACACAATCGATGTATTTTATGATACAAATGCAAGCAAAATAAAGAATGCCGGTTACTTACCTCAGTCCGGCCGCCTGGATACACTCCTGATCCTGATCTTGATCCCAGAAGGAAGAACAGCAAAAGAGGCTTGAGCTCAGGGGTCAGCCTCTTTTCTTTTGGCCTTAGGTCCACCCCCGGCCGGCCGTCCATTGTCCTCCCTGGCCGAGGCGGGTCAAAGGCCAGCTCAAGCAGGTGGGTGGCACCCGCCCAGGTGAGCCTCGCTTGGTGCCACAAACCCCGCCCACCTGTGGGGAAGGGAGGGCGGATATTACCCCAACACATTCCTCCTATGTTAATCATGTATAACCCTCCCCTTTTCTGATGGAGTGGTGATGTTTAGCGAACTGTCTGCTGGGATAAGATAGGAACTTTTAAAAGTCCTTGTCACCCCGTTCTCGGGGTTCAATTCCTCTCTGAACCTGTTGCGCCATAAACTTTGGTCTCCGCTATTTGCTCCAGTTGGTGGCTGGCCTCCTTCTTTGTTCCGCAGGGACCCACGGGCTCTGAGCAGCCTCCCACCTGGATTTTTCCGTAACAACAGAAACTCGACTAACCCTCGTGAGAGAAGAAAGGTGGCTTTTGCTCCCGCTGCAATGTTGTCATCTAAATAAGCACATCTTCCTACAAGTGAATAGTAGCCACCTATCTGGGGGGAAATAAAGTGGTATGCTGAGAGACATTGTTACGGTGGAGAGGAAATCTGTGTTCAACAATCCGAACATCCAGAGACAAACCAGATGGCAGCTTTTTTTTACTGTGTCCACAGAACTCAATGAAAGCCAACCAATGTTTTTGCAGTTGCTTTCCATGGACATTTTGCAACCAAGCACAGAATTCCTTGAACCTCGGAAACGCTTCTGATTTCTGCTTGAGCATGAACACATGAGTGTACCTGGAAAAAGCATCAATCAATACCATGAAGTACTTTGCTCCACCTAGAGAGGTTGCAAGTGGACCAACAAGGTCTGCGTGGACAATCTGGTAGGCTTTAGATGCCCACCTGCCAGAAACCTTGCCCTATTGAACTGTGTGTCATCATGATGGCCTTGACCGGTTGTGAGTTGTGAAGGCCGCTTCCTGCAAGGCCCTTTCCACCTGGCCTGGGGGGCAGGGCCCAGACACCAGCTCTACTAAAGAGGCTCCTGGTGAGACCAGAGGGACATCGCTCGGCCTGACAAGAAACCCAAACTATTGGATTCTTTTGCCCCATCTTTTTTGTGCCTGCTAAACAGCCGTGTCATGCTTATGATAATATTTTATTCTCTTGGGAATTCTGCTGTTTAAAATGTGCATTTTATATTTGACTTTACTTAGCAATGTTGGTTTTTTTTTGGGGGGGGGAATGCTTAAGTTTTCTTATTTTGTTTTTGTTAACTTTGTGTTAAATATGTATTCTGTAGTTGACTTCCTTTGTAATGTTTTATTCTGAAATCTTTAATATTTCAGTTTTTGGTTAACTATGTTGCTTTAACTGTATACTCTATATTTGACATTCTTCAGATTGTTTCACAAAACCTTTGGGCTGTAATAATAATAATAATAATAATAATAATAATAATAACAATAATGTTCATTGAAATGTTGTGTCCAAAGACTGCAGCCGATGGAGAGATCACCCCTCCCTCAATTTTCTATCAGATTATTTAGATTTGGTAAATCATTCTTATTGCTATTCTTATTGTATTGATTATTATAATTGATTTATGTAGTTCTGACGGTTTAGCTGCCTTGAGCATCACTTCCGGTCGGCGCCAGCGTTTAATGGCGGTCCTCGCTTCGAGCTCCGGAGGAGGACTGCTCCGCGAGTTTGGGTCTGACCCGCTACGGCGAGCGGGGGACCCCTAAAATCACAGGCGCTGAAGCCTGTGAACAAGGAGACTCGGTGGGCACCTTTGCGCCCCGGTACTGTGAAAGAGCCTTTTAAAGGCTACGGAGCGGCATCGGGGTGAGCGCGGTGCTGAGAGTCGCAACCCAGCCCGTGGAGTGAAGCCGCGTCGCCATGAACGGAGAGCGCCGATTTCTTCCTGAACCAGAAATTCGACTGTAAACCCCGTGAGTAAGACGGAGGGACTGAACGGGACATTTAAATTTAAATTCTGAAATTTGGCTGAAAACGGGAAAGGCATAAATTAAGGAAGTCTGCCTCCCCGATCTGCATGGCAATTAAAGCAACGAAAGAGTAAAGCTGCATTTGAAAGAAAATTATCTTTGAGCTGTCAAACCTGACATTTGACTTAAACTTCCCCCCAGTAAGCAGGAGAAGGGGGGAAGAAAACTGGACACTGTTAATCTGCCTGAAATTAACTGAGGAAAAAAACATCTTCCACTGCCAAATCCCCAGGACGGACTGCCTGAGTAAGGCACCGGGAAAGTGAACTGTCAGTTTAGACTGGATACAAAGTTGGGGTTTTGTCTGAGACAAAGTTACGGGACTTTAATGGAATTACTTTGTTGAACTTGTGACTATACTGAAAAAGTGCGACAGAAACTTTTACTGTGGACTCTTGGATTTTTTGTTGATTGCTCTATGTTTCCTTGTTCTTTCTTTTTCACTTGGATACAATTAAATGCTCCCTCTAGAGGGTATAAAGAGAAACTGTTACAGTGAAAAAGAAACAGTGGGATTTTCCACTTGCAAGTCTTTCCTGTGAGAACGACCTTGAGGATATGGAGTGGTCCAGCAGAAGAGATAACAACTAGATCCAAAGCAAAACAGACACAAAAGAAAAGGGGCTCAATACCTGGCATACCACCAGCTGCACAGGAAAAAGTGGCAACAGCATCTATGGATTCAATGACACAGGCACTGCTCAAAATAAACCAATCTTTAGAAGCACTGACAAAGCTATCTACGGAAAATTCCAAAAAATTGACAGAACTGACAGCAAGATTGGACTTGAATACTGCAAGTGTAACATCAAATACAGAATCTATTAATAAATTAATTCAAGAAAGTTCTGAAACACGAAAGATTGCTGAAAGTGCAAAAATACTGCAGAGGAGACAAGGGAGGAGCTTGTGCCGATTACAAAAAAAGTGAATGAACATGATGCAGCCCTATCTTTGCTGGAATTACAGAGAAAAGAGAGAAATTTGAAATTGAGATTGGTTCCCGAGAGTGAGGGAGACAGCCTTGTGGACTTCCTTACACAGAACTTTACGGAATTTTGGCAAGAGGAGCTGCAGGAAGAAGAATTTGAAATAACAACAGCTTTCCGGCTGGGCAGGAGGCAAGGTAAGAAGCCAAGGGATTGTTTGATCACATTGAGATCCAAAGGAGAAAGAGATAAAATATTGAACTTGCATTACCAAAAGGCATTGGAGATTGAAAATAGTCAAGTACAAATTTTTAAAGATATCCCTAAATATATTTTGGAGGTGAGAGCCTTCTATAAAGATTTGGTCTACCTGCTGAAGAAAAATATCATACCCTTCAGGTGGGAGTTTCCACAAGGATTGTCTTTTAACTTCAAAGGAAGGAAGGTCAAAATAAGAACAGTTCAAGATAAAGAACAGTTTTTGGAGAGATATCAGGAGGACTTGCAGAAAGGAACAGTAGAAACAACAATACAAGAAAAAGGAGTGACAGACATTGCAAACTTGTCATTTGGACTCATACCACCATCTGAAGATGAACAAAAGCTAGGAGCAGTCGGAGGAACAGGTACTTAATAACAAAATGTCTCTGCAACTTCTTAGCTGGAATTGTAATGGTTTGAACCTTCCCGAAAAAGACGCCAAGTTTTTCATATTTTGAAAAGAGAACAATTAGACCTGATATGTCTACAAGAGACCCATGTGACCAGGACACATAGGAAATTATTGGTAAACAAGAGACTTGGACAGGAATTTATTTCATCAGACAAAGTTAAGAAAAGAGGCGTGGTGATTTATGCAAAAGAAAAATTGGCTCCAAAGATGATATTTAAAGATGAACAAGGAAGATACCTGGCAATTGAAATACAAGTTCAAGGAGAAAAAATCTTGATAGTCGGAATTTATGCACCAAATGATGGGAAGGCAGAATTCTTTAAGAAGTTGCATGAGACTTTAATGGATTATCTAGACTATAGAGTAGTAATGATGGGAGACATGAATGGTGTAGTTTCCACAAATATGGACAAAGCACAGAGACAAGTAATTTCCAAGGAAGGGAGACTACCAAAGACTTTTTTTGAAATGACTGAAACTATGGACTTGATTGACATTTGGAGAACAAGGAACCCTCTTGAGAGAGAGGAACTTTTTCTCTGAAGCAAAAATGACATGGACAAGAATTGACCAAATTTGGGTAACTAGCAGTATGGCGCCAAGGATTAAAAAGGTAGAAATCTGCTCAAAGACTTGCTCCGACCATAATGCTGTAAAGATGGAGATGAAACTAACATCAACTGGATCCTTTAGATGGAGAATGAATGACACCCTATTTAGAGATGAAGAGATTTATAAGAAGGCCCAAAAAACACTGAAAGATTACTTTGAGATAAATTTGAGAACAGAAGTGGAAAAAGAATAATCTGGGACGCAAGTAAGGCCGTGATGCGAGGTTTCCTAATACAACAGAACTCCATAAAGAGGAAAAATCAAAATGAAAGGAAAGAAAAATTCTGGAAAAAATAAAAGAAGGTGAAAAGAAATTGAGGTCTAAACCAAAGTCCCATGAGATTCTGAGAGAAATAAAGCACTATCAGGTGCAATATATGGAATTGATGAATCAAGAGATAGAATGGAAAATAAAGCAAATGAGACAAAAGACATTTGAATCAGCAGATAAATGTGGGAAATTTCTGTCATGGCAATTGAAAAAGAGGCAAAAACTGAACACTGTGACAAGTTTAGAAGTGGATGGAAAGATTATCCACAAACCAAACGAGATAAGTAATTGTTTTCAAAGTTACTTCAGGAAATTATATGCACAAGGGCCAGTCAACGAACAGGAAATAGAAGAATTTGTTAAGAAACATGGATTACCAAAAATTTCAGAGCAAAGCAGAAGGATTTTGAATGAGAAAATAACAGGACAAGAAATAGAGGGTGCCATTCAGAAGATGCAATTGGGAAAATCTCCAGGACCAGATGGTTTGACCGCCAGATATTATAAAGCGTTGAAGGAATGGTTAGTACAACCACTGAAGGAAGTATGTAATGAAATTTTGGAGGGGAAAAAGGCACCAGAGTCGTGGAAAGAAGCCTTTATTTCACTTATACCGAAAACTGAGACTGAAAAGAACCAGGTTAAAAACTACCGCCCTATATCATTACTCAATGTGG